TCCAGCTGAGGTAGATCGGAAGCTACAATCTCTAGTCCGTGACGGTTGAAGTCAGTGTTGCTCACATTCAAGGTCTGCAGGGCTTGTAACTTGGCGAGCGCAACAACAACACAGTATCTGGAAAAAGAACACAGCTGAGTCAGGTAAGTCAGAGCAGTTTGATCGTCAACTGAGTAGACTAAGGCTTGTTGCCAAAACAACCATAGATTCTAACTTTCTAAAACATCTCAGAATGTTAAGTGAAAATATTATACCATCGATTGCAGTTTAATTAAATGGACCTGTATGGTAAATGTTCTACGGAAATTAGGTCTACATAAATAGGCTATTGGTTACAGTAAAGACAGTAGCGTAGCCAGGACTATGTAAAGAAAGGTTTAACATAGAGCCCAGGAGGGGGTCTGAGGGCAACCTTGTAATCTTTAGGACAGAAACAATGAGGTTAAGGAAACAAAGGGTAATAGTGGGGGTCTTTATAAAGGTCTTTGCTTTATAAGGGTCATTAAAAAAAAGAGTTAAAAATGTTATCTAAAAATTTCTATAATATTTCAGTTCCGCCCTTACACAGATGTACACTTACAGGATGTTTAGCCAACTGGGAAATCGGGAAATGTATGTGAATTTTGTCTGACTTCAAAACATCTTCTAGATAATTATCGTCTGCTGCGATGGCAGCGAAATAATTTTGTCAAATGGGGGGTTATGACCCCCAAACACTCCCCATTGCCTACGCCACTGGGTATAGAGTACAAACATCCTTCGTTCAGATTTGTTTTTATTTTTATGGTCTCTTCACTACATAACCCATTTGTATAGGGTTGTATGGTACACACAGTGTTGTTTTATCCGTATTCCTGTATTGTTTAATGCAGTTTTAACGTTATTAATTTGCTACAATGAGAAAAGTAAAAACAAATACCACTGCCGCAGCGCAACTGCAAAATAAGAAAAATTGCCCGATTGAATTAACAAACACTACAACATCTGCTTCAAAGTATCTGATAGTTTTATTTCCTATATAATATTAGTTTCCTAGTTAATTTCCTAATAGTATTAGTTTAACGAGTAGGCTACTTAGGTTTGCTGCAACAGGGAGGGTAAAAAAAGTTTTTTGTGAAATTTTAAATCTGATCAAAATATGTTTATAAACAAGCATACTACAAAAGTTTACCTGACCAACTTATTCTCCATAATAATAAAATGGGAAGTTTATATTTACATATTTTTGTAATTTTCTCCATACCCATTATATTATTAGGCGCATAATAACGCTTCAATACACTTTATCAGGCTATTTGTTTTTTAAACTCTAAAAAATATTAGCCTATAGAAAGAAATTACAAAACTTTATGTTTTTAAGGTAAAAAAAGGGAAAACCATAACTTTAAATCCTGCTATTAGACTCTAAATCTTAATAAATAAAACACAAGCTTACTTTGGTCCATCCATAAATGCACTGTGTGCTACGTTCAGGGAGCGTAAGTTCTGTAGTGTCCACTCTCCTAAACAGCCGATGAGGTCATTGACGGTCACTTTCAATCCTTGTGTCTCTAGGTCGGTTATTTTGTGGGCTCTTAAAACTTTAAGCCCACGTAAAGTCAGTTGACTAGCATCCGATAAGCAAACTCTCCTGATAACAAAAATGTTAAATATGAATGTCAGACAACTTGAAGTGATCTAGGCCTATCCTTGGATGCTTTGGGTTAGTTTATGTGGGTTTGATTCCCTACAAGATAAACTCATAAGCCTATAGGGTTATACAAAAACACATTTAATAAATAGTCAAAACATGATAGAGAAAAAATCAACAGGCTCATTTAGTATAATTGTGTTTATCCACGCATTGGTGGCATTGATAAACGTTTTTTGTAGGGACACGGTCCAAACCCTGGACTTGTGGGACTGTGGGTGCAGTTTTGAAGAGAACCTACAATATATTATTGGTTGAAATATTAGTTCGATCCTATAGGCTAGATCGTATCAGATGTTGATTTCAGACAATATAAGTTAACTTGGGTACCGGTACCTATATAGATTGTAGGCCTAAGTATTAAAAAATACTAACATTTCAAGCTATACGATCTTTTAAGAAGAATCTTTTACACTGTTCTGCGGCAGTTAGTTTATTTCTCTTTGGCTTTGTTGTTTAAATGATAACGACAAACAAGGTAACATTTATGAAAACAAGCTGATTGGCCAACGCCGAGTTTTTTTTTTTAAGAAATAGCTGGTACCATACTGTATGATAAATTTACAAAGATGTCTATTTATATGCCGTGTTATATTTTTCATGAGTTTTTTTATAATAAGATTAACTTATAAAAGCAGCTTCTTTCTGAAAGGAAATAGGCATATGCTAAATTCTACCTTAAGGTATTTTACTTCAGCCAGGTCACATTCTCTTTTATTTTGTTTGTATAAAAGTTTGTTTGTTTTGTGTCCCTTGTCTTGTGAGTGTGTGTGTGTGTTATTTATAGAACTCTGTAGATAACCTTCAAATGAAGTGACTAATTGACACCTTATAGGGGCTGCACTTAAGTTTACCTCCTACACTCATTCGAATGAAAATATTGATCGATATATCGAATAATCAGGTACACTTCCATAGCTATTGGCACAAACAACCGAATGAAAATATCGATTGATATATCGATTATTCGATATATCGTTTGGTTAGTTAGGTAAGGTTAACCTAACCTAATTAACCAAACCATATATATCAAATTAAACAATCGAATAATCAATATTACTCATTCGGTTGTTTGTGCCAACAGATGTGGAAGTGTACCCAAATAATCTATATATATATATATATATATTTTTTTTTTTCATTCGAATTAGTGTAGGACGTAAACTAAAGTGCAGCCCTTGTAGGCCTGATGATGGTTCAGATTAAGAACTGAAACTAAATTAGTTGCCATTAGCCTACAGCGGCCAAGGATTACAATAAGCCTACTATAATTAAGCAGGTATTTTAGGTACATAATACGCCTACAGTAATGCAGAGGCTAAAAAACTCATTGAAAATAAATTCTACTAATCGTTCGGATACCAAGTTAGTAGGCTACGCTACATTTCACTTAGCTAGCACAAGCACCTTCAGCTAAAGTTACCCTAAATGATCAGCTTTGTAGGTAGATAGCCAACATTACCTTAATCTTGTAGTACTAACATCAAAAAGAGACATAACTTGATCACAGAGTTTCTTTTTGGCACACAATGCAGTAAGTAGTTGTTCTGCTATTTCGGTGTGTAAAAATATTTCACTGCCCTTAAAAACTACCCTAATTCCATTTGTTGGAACTCTTGCATTTTGTCTTTGTTCGTCAACACTTTTGTCTACAGGTGATGATTCAAGCCTACTTGTAGCTACAGTTGATGAGGTTACTTCACATAAAGAGCCCAGATTTTCACAAATAAAGTCAACACATACATCTTGAAGTGAGCCAGGTGAGTCATACATGTTGTTAATCAGGCCTATTTTATCTAATTATGCTACTGATTCTCTAACTTAAATGAATAGGTTCGTTTCACTATGTTAAAATAAATTTGTAATCTACTAAAATGTTCTTTCCATTAGTGTTGTCTAATGTACCAAGTCAAATTTAAGGTTAAAATCACATATCAGTGACACTGACAACATTGACATAATATTACGATCAGCTGTGCTGTACGATGAAAAATAATGATTGACGATATAGTATCCCATGGTGTAATAAGTAGGTTTGAATTGATACTACACCATAATACTAGCTAATGGATTGTTTCCTGAAATAAAAAGCATTTTATTCTCTTATTTATGTTACTTCAACGAAAATCTTTTATCTGGAAACATTTGAGATGATTGTCACTCTTATAGATAATATTTTGTGAGATAGTTTGAATTTCAACTTAAGAGGTTGGCTATTCTGATCCTGCTGCTAATAATATACAGTGTTGCCAAAAAGCGGGTAATTACCCGAAAAGCGGGTAATTTAGTTACCTGGGGGTAATGCTGCGGGTAATGGCAAATAGGCGGGTAAAAAGCGGGTAAATGACAACTGATCAAATATTATTTTTTTTCGTATTATTACTTATATTTCACTAGAAGAAAAATATTTCCCTGCGTTTTTTTCCATTAAAGTTATTTCACAGACTTTTTATTCCTTTACACTACTTCTCTTAATCTTCATCAGTTTGGTTCAGTTCTCACTCAGTCACTAGTAGCATAGATAAAACATACTCCCTTAACTTGTGTTGGTTAGTCTATGCTAGTAGTGTAGATATAAAGTCAATGCGAGTAGGCTACAGCGTTCAGTCGGTTCGGTTCGGTTCAGTTTCAGTCAGTACGGTTGTTTGTAGTCTTTTCTTTTGGATTGGAGTGGAAAAACTTTTGGTTGCCTGGCCTTAAATGGCTGATCCGTGATCCTCTGATCTCACTCTCACTTCACTTCTCACTATACTACAGTCAACGCTGATACGCTGATACCATGGTGGAAGGAAAATACCGTACCATACACTAGTCTACTTCTAAGAAGATGAATAACATAAAACAGGGGAATAATAATGTTGATAGGTTATAATAACTATTTTCTCCCTAAAACTAATAAAAAATAAAATTTTTAACAGTACTTACTCATTATTAAACAAGTATATGACATAGGCTATCATAAAAAAACCAAATCATTGTAGGACTAATGAAATTATTTTTGTAAGGTCAGTAAGATTGAAAATTTCATTATGAAGGTTAATTACAAGTCTCAAGTCCTATATTTAGTTCTTTACTACATCTTAATTTGTGGGATTACTCAAAACTAATTTATCAGGGTTTTTATTCGTTACTTTTAGAGACAGGCAAGAGTGTTAAAAGGGAATTTTTGGTTAGTTGAGGGTAATTTTTAGAAAAAGCGGGTAATTCTTTGCTTTGGAGGGGGTAATCGGGCCATAGTGGATTGGCAACACTGATAATATAGCTTCTCGTCTGCAAGTGGTTGTTTTGTATTGATTTGAAGAAATGTCAACCAAGCTAAACTCAATTGTTGATAAACAAGATAAACAGGAAATATCCTTAGAGAAGCATTATAAGTGTTAATCAAAGAATTATTTTTAAACATCCAATGATGAGAGAGTAGTTTCTTTCCAGCGTGTGTTTAATTCGTGCAGTGACTCCTGTTCTTAAATATTAGATTAGCTTCTATCAAATTTGTCTCTCCATTAGGCCTAGTATTATTGAATTTTTTCTCTTAGCAAATTAGCAGTTCACGTTATTAATAAATATTCCTTTAACTTTACCAGTTGAGATTCAAGAATGGCTAGTTTAAATGTATCTGATGTAAACCCATTACCACCTGGCTGGGATTGTAAATATGACAATGTTTCAGGAAAGAGGTTAGTAGATCATGTTTTCCTTTTTAAGCAAACCATGTAAAAAAATAATAGACCCTTATCCTTCTTGCCTTTTCCCACAATAAGAAAGGGTCTTTGTACCAGTGTATTCACAAGACCAGACAAAAATCCCGCTTTTCAGGTCGAGAAAATCCTGTTTTAGCGTGACGGAAAACCCTTTTGTGTCTTGCATGAATTTCGTAAAAAATCTGGTTCTATCCCAAGTGATATTTTTGAAGTAGGCTATCTTGTTTTAAACAATCTCTTTAAACCTTTCCATAGTGCTATCCTGCATCTACCTATCAATTAAAACTATCAATTAACACATTGCGTGCGGGTCAGTCGCCGGCGACCGGTTCCTTATCATTGAGATAAGTGCAATTTTCAAGAGTAAACATGACGGCCGCATTGAAAGAGTTAATTCTGGATAGTTTTTATCTTGACTTAAATCTAAAAATTCTGCAAAAAAATAAAATTAAAGGTAAAGAGTCAAAAGTCTTGTTTGCATGCCATTTTTATCCTGCACATGGTCCAAGAATTCTGTTCTTGAAATAAAAATCCTGCTTGCGGAAACACTTGCTTGGTACTGCTTTGCTAATCCACACATTCTGTGCAAGGGCACTGACCTAAACGTTAAACGTTAGAGGTATATATAGTCAATGACGTTAGGCATAGTTCTGCTGCAGTTTGTCGTTGATCCACTGTATCTGTACGCTAAATAACAATTGAATTGCTGTAGATCGTCTCTCTTCATCGACTAGGTTACCAATACAGTAACTTATGTAAATTAACAGCTAAAGCTTTCAGCTCAGCTTTGCAATTTTAAATTTACTTAAATTTTATTCCTGCTTAGGTCGTTTAGTTTGATTTCTTTATAAGCTGATCAATTATTATTTGTCATATTAACGGTTGTGATTTTCAAAATAAGAAAGAAGAAAATAAGAAATAAGAAAATAAAGTGAATAGCTTAGGCCTAGTGTCAACTTGACTAATAACTAATAATAATTTTTCAGACAAAAGAATTGATAAAAACAAGGAAAACAATAATTAAATATTTAAAATGTTACACTTGAAATCTTGAAATCTAGTGATTGAATCAATCATCCTTATATATAATACGTGGCGATTTCTACAAAACACTACTCCTCCGTTAATAATGGCCGGATTTTTACAAACGAGGTGTCAAAATTAAGTATTTTTTGTGTAGACACCCCCTGTCACCAATTCCTGTAATAAGTCTTCGGGCTTCACCCCACAGGCCATCAAAATCCCAATGTATTTCTCATGAAGAAAAGTCTTTGTTTACTTAAACAGACGAATAAGTTGTATTAATTACAGCTGTTCATAGTAAACACATGATACACACAAGGAGCGTTCGTTTTTAGAGTGAGTTTGTTTTCAGTGTCGATAACTGGAGTAGAGTGAGCCTTCGTTTTCAGAGTGAGTTTGTTTCCAGTTTCGATAACTGGAGTGGAGTGATTGATTACATCATCTTTTAGTTGACTCTTTTAAGTAATCGGAAATTGTGACTGTTATTCGTTTTGAAATAACACCTTTAATATTTTTCAATTGCTCGAATTCGAGCAACAGGTGCACTAGTCTGATACATTGAATGAATTAATTATTGTATGTATACTTAGATCACAACCCATCAATTTATGTAGATAATGCATCCTTTCAAATTATTTACATATAAGCAGTGTACCAGGCAGTTACGGTACTTAGCATATCACATTAATTATTGTTAAGAATTCTAATAAATTACCTTACAATTACTTTCAGATATTATATCAACTATTTTACACGACATACGAGCATGGAAGATCCTAGAGTACAACATACAGAAAATATTCCGCTGCAGGTAAGTTGTGTTGGCTTATAATGCTAGAATATATTTATCCGTAGGTTTTATTATCAGCTAGTCCCAACACCTCAACTTTGTCATATTTACTATCAGTATCTAATCCATTTAAGATGGGAGTCACAGGTTAGTGATTTTATAAACGGAGAAGACGTTTTTTAACTTAAATGTAAATATAAGAGGAGTGAGACATCTTTGTAGCTTTGTTACTAAAACAGTTAGTTGTTTCTGTAGCCAGAATCATTTATCAAATCCTCAAGATCTAGATCAGTGGGTTCAATTTTTATTAATTAAAAAGTTAATGCATTTCCTCAAGCTCAAGCTTAACCTTTCAAAACTAAAAAGTAATATCTCTAGGGAAAATAAGCCAGAGTCAGACGATTTGAAGTCAAGGGGAAATTTCTTAAGTGCTTTCTTTATTTTAAGAACTTGACTATGATTAGCCTACAAACCTTTTCCAACACTGGGCAGTTTAAAATATAAGAGAATAATGTACATTTTTATAAAAAATAAATGTCTATCTTCTCCCCAGGACTTCACATCAGCAGCAAATCATCGGCTGGGTCTGATGATGGGAACCAATTCTCTGAAACGTCAACAGAGCGCAGCATCAGACAACAAGCAAGCAGCCACAGACCAGACTGTAGCTAAGATAAGTTCGATGTTTCCCACTGTCAGCGAAACGCACATCCGCACACTACTGCTCAAGTGAGTAGGCTAATGAAACATTTGTTAGCTAATCAAAAAAGTGTTTTTTGTCAATGCAATCAGAAAAACATTGCATTTTAAAATCTTACTAGGTGGGCTGATCCTTAAATTTAATATAGGCCTATTTTTCATAGTTAATTTTTTCTCAATTTTGTGTGACTAACCCAACTGCATAAAAGAAAGGTTAACTTTTTTCTCATAGCATAGCTATACTGTGAATATAATTACATTTATTTGAGTAGGACTTTAGGACCATTGACTATGGATGCTGGAAATTATCTACCAACAATATGAAACAATATACTGTGGTGTCACTGTGTTGATTTCACGTGTTGCTGTCAACTTCTTTCTTACTGTTTAGCTAACCGATAACAAAATATTTTATAAACAGCTGAAAACATTTTAAAAACAATGTATCCACCAATTATAATGGATGGTTCGGCAGCCGTGTTGCCACAGTTAAATGTCTGAGCCATGATGTCACAGTTGCCTCGGTTACCGTATGTCCGCAGGTACCACAACCGTGAGGCCGTGGTTATGAGTGCGTTGCAGGTGGAAAAACACCCGCTCACTACACCCGGACCCTACACGCCACCCATGGGTGCCCGTACTCTCCCGGGGGTGGGGTTGTACGCTGTCACCCCTCCAAGCACCCCTAGAGCAGGGTTCCTCCCCCCTCGACTCTCACCTCGTCCCCACTCATCTCCCAAGATGAAGCTCAGGTTTTACTCTCCCCTAGGTGTCCCGGAATGCCGTAGTCGATGTGTCTTTTCTTTGTGTTTGTTTTGTTGAGGCATGTATATTATATGTTTATTTTAGGTTGTAGTTGTAGTTAGATTCGTCTGCTAGACAGCGATACTTATTTTAAATAGTGTTTATTTTGACTCTACAAATAGCTGTGGTATAGAAATAACTGTATAGATAATCGTCCTAATTTTTTGACAATGTTTTTTTTTATCATCAGTCTGTATGTAACCATCTCTAACTTTTTAAATTGAGAATTATTTAATTCGTTCATTAGCTTAGATTTGTAACCTCACTCTTTCGAGTTAAAATAACATGTTTTTTTTAACATGTTTTGAATTGTAACAAAATAAGTTATGTTACCTATTCTTGTAAATATTATCTCGAGACAAAAATGCTTATAACATACAATTGATCAACGTTTATAGATGTATATTAAAATAATTTTACCCATCTTGTCTCCATTAGCTGATTAATTTATGCCTGCATTTATTAAGTATTTTACTTTTGAACTTTCTATCCATAAATGATTACCATGTTTTTTGTTGTGAATTTAGTACCTACCATACTTATTTATCATATTATGTACAACAACCCTTTCTTAATTTTTAATTTGTCCCTATGTGTAGCATGTTGAACAGTGTTACAGATTTTTAAATAACATTAATCTATGTTGATATAAATGTTCATTCACTTATTACAATTCAAACCAAATGCTAAGAATTTTGTTGACAATCCAATGTATTCTTGTACATATTTGCTGGCATCAAGTATTACTTGACTTGTTTTGCTGTAAAGATATGGTAATACTGCACTTAATAATTAGGCTACAGGTTAAATATTATCATTATTTTGACTTTTTAAAACTGCAAACCAATCAATATATTAAGCTGTTATGTGTACTGTAGAACCTCGATGGTTCAACACTTTGTGGACTAAGATGGTTTCGAAATATTTAAATGTCAAACTATGGAGTAGATTGGAGATTTACAAACAGGGAGTATTTAAAACTCAAGATAGAGCAAACAAACTAAAATAAGTAGTATAAAACTGTACACAAATAAACAAACTTATCAACTTACATGTCTACTGTACATTCTTTGGCTTCTTACTGTATAAAATAGTTTGTAATATTCAACTATTTTTAACTTCCAATGTTAGGAAAAATGTAAATATAAGTTACCCCATCACTGTATAGAATGGGTAATGATGGCTGATTTTGCCTGGTCTATACGCCGAAGGTTATCTTACCTAATCCCTTTGCTTTCGGTTGGCCAGTTGTATAGGCCGTGTTGTTAATTCAAACATCAGCCACTCCCGTGGCCATTACCTTTGGCAACCTCTCTCTGCAAACCATCTTGGCTCCCCTGAAGAATTCTACCAGCTTAGAATTACTTAAGTTTCAAATTTGCTTAGGCTCTTAGGTCGCATCACTAGGAGAATCTAAACAAACAACATTCAGTTAAAATATCTGGTCAAAGCAATAGTGCTTCCATGTTAGCCAGTATAGATTGTGTCAATTAGAGTGGCAGCGGGATGAGCATGCACACAAGAACCCTTCCCCCACCACTGCTGCTTTTTAGCGAATTTCCCCATAGGGAAGACGCTATTGCCGAAGGTTTCAACTTGATAAGACCTAGGCTCGGGACTGATTTACTTTTTCATTTTGATGTCCCCAGAGGCCAAAAAGACACCTCAACAGCTTATTCCCATTGGATTAATTGAATACCACCAGCATCGAGTGTGACTCTCAGTATTGTTGGGAATATTCCCCTCATCAATCTCACTGGCCATCCTAATTGACATGATCTATCACTGGCTATCCGAGAGGCAAGATAATAATGTGAAATTTATATATATTACTTGCTGTACAAAAGATAGCGGCCATTACAGCTAGCTACCTGACCGAATAAGTATAAAAATACTCTTGCTGATCGCACAAGGTTAACTGGTGCTTACTACCCTATACTGTACCTAAAAAGTGCTCAGTGCCTGTAGTATTTCATTTAGCATTCTAGTTGACTCCCGTATGTTGCCTAGGTACCTGAAGAGTGTATTCCCAGTGGTTGAGGAGACAGTTCTGCTCGACACTCTGAGCAGTTCGGACAACAATGTCCACCGTGCGACGCAGACGCTGCAGTCTATGGGGTTTGACAAGCGGGCGACGCCCCCGCCAAGAGTGTGTCTTCAGAAACAAACACCTTCTACACAGTCTGCCCCCCCGGCGCCGCAGCACTCACCCCCCGCCAGGATGAAGAGCGTGGAAGAAAAGCAAGAGAGTGAGTATTGGTTTTACCTAAGGTTTGAGGACTGCATTATTTCCTGAAATATTTCTTGTTTTGTCAAGTTACCCACTCAAACATTATGTAATGGTTTGCATTAATGAAAGCTTGTGACATGGAAATAACCTTTGATTCAGAATATTTAAATACTAAAAGTTACAAACTAGCTGCAGTGTCTTATTTTATGCAATTATCAAAATGTATTTAATCAAAAACCCATGGTTGGATATATATTTTTTAAGTTTAAGAACTTAAACAACAATAGTATTTAACAAAATAGATGTCAATGGTGTTGAAACAAATTAGATTAAAAAATACCCCCACCGCAGCAAACCTGCAGTCTAAGCGGATTTCTCTAATTTTTGGCCTGATTGGCTTTTTACTACAATATTTCCTTAAACTTTTGTCAAATTTATTCCCCATTAGTGTTAGGTTTAACGAGTTCTTAGGTTTCCTGCTACAGAGTTGATAGTAAAGTGTGTTTTTTAGTGAAATATTAAGAACTTGTTATAAAATAAATAAATTTGCCAGAGCATCCGCAAACTACAACAGTTGTCTTATTCCCCATATAAATAATACAGCAATTTTAAAATTGCAGTTTTTTTGGGGGAATTTTCTTCATAACCATTAAGCGAACAACGCCTCAATATGGGGGACCAAGGTCCTGGACGGTAATAGCTTATTCGCTCATTCCTAATGAGGTTGAGGAATTTGCTAAAAACAGCCAGTAAGGTAAAATCCTGAGCTTTAAATTTTATATTTAAGGTAGGTTTTGTCATTATCAGATGTTCTGTTAAATCAGTGTCTATGGGCGGCGACAACAATGTTTTGTATGTTTTGTTGTTTTTGTTTTGGTTTTTGTTTTTGTTGTTTTGTACAATGTTTTGTAACAATGGACAAAACACTTCTATTCACCAACACTTCAACCTCAACATTTCAACTGTGTAGAAAGCCATCTTCACGGTGACTTGACACCGGAAATATGTCATTTATTGGCTTGCTTGGTCAATTGTACTTAAGTCAAGTCACCCAAATATGTCTATCTACATTTTAGCCACGATGTTGATGAATATCTATTTTGTGTCAGTGTTTTGTTTATTTTGGGCAAGGTCGCACCCAAAGACCACGGATCTTCAGTATGTAACCATGAAAGCATATCTTTGAAGATAAAATGTTTTGTTGTTTCACAGTGAAGGTTCGGCTGAGGGAAAAACACCCTGACGTAGCCGAGAGAGTTGTCTCCATTGCTCTGGACAGTGTGGACTACGATGAGACCAAGGCAGATCAAATACTGACCATGGCTGATGAAACGCCTCCAGCTACAGAAGACAAGAAAAATCCCGACTCTAGGTAAGACTGCTACTCACTGACTGATTTTATCCCAAAGACATGGATTTGTCATGTTTCTTTTATTAAGATGAAATTCTTTATTTTCCATTCTCGTTCTTATACTAAGTCAACTTAAAACTTTTCTTAATCAACACATTTTGTTTGAAGTAGTAAATGCAATTCTTACACTCAACCAACTGTTTGCAGTAGTGGACATGAAGTGATGAAGGAGATCATTGTAGAAGAGCCGTCTCAGCCTCCTTCTCCTGAATCTCCTCCTGACAGTCCATCCGGAAAGAGGAACAAGAATAACAGAAACTCCAGGTAGGCCTACTTACATCTTTAACACATTAAGCACATTTCGTAAATATGGTTAACAATCTGTTTGAATTTTTCAGGCGTATTTCTAGGGCTGCACTTTTTTCTGCAGGGTTGCACAATTGATGCAGTACTCTGTATTGAGTAGCTATTAATTGTCATACCAAAATGGAATCCAGATAAGTGGAAAGGTCAATTTCATGGAAAATAACAAAATTGAATGTTAAAAATCATTAAATGAATACAGTTTTTTGGATATCAAATCCATGTAAGGTTTTAATTTCTTTTAGGCCTATACTAAAACCACTAAATTTTTCATTATTTCAAAACATCTTATAAGTTGTGTATTATTCCAGCTTCAAGAACGAATTATTAATAAACTAGTTTACCTTGTGGTTGCCAGATTCTTGAAATGTGTAGATATCTTGCTCGATGTACATTTCGCTACATGTGTAGCATCGTCAGGAGCACAGTTTGTCACATTAGTCTATTTAACACAAACACTATTTACAAATATTTACATTTTCGGTCGGATGATGATTTACGGTAAAGTCATAGGAATCCAGCGCGCGAACGCGTGCGCGGACCACGGCGCGGACCGGAGCCACTACATGTGTCACTATTTGACTGACAACTGGCTTGAGGAGGTATGTTTGGGGAGGTTCGGTCAGGGGATGGGGGTGAGTTTACGATGTTAGAGCTTTCTCTTCTTGGACTGCGACGTTGCCAAGTCTCTGCGCTGTTGCCACGTTTATCTTCTAGATGGTTTATAAGTTTGAAAATTATTGAATTGTTGTAATCTTCTTTTTTGTTTAATAGGGTGTCTGTATTTGAACTATGGGTATGTTTATATATGTGGTAGCTTTCTTGGACTTTCGCTATTGACTTAGAATTTGTGCGTTTGAGGATTGTTAATGATTCTGGAAATGAGATGTGGTGGTTCTGATTACTTTTCAGGTGTTTGGCGACTAATGATTCTGGATTGGCGTGGTGGCTGGCACTATGTTCTTTGAATCGCTGTTTAAATGATCTGTTAGTATAACCAATGTATTCTTTTTGACATGGTGGTGCACATGTTATTTTATATACGCCTCTTTCTTGTTCTATTGGGATGTCAGTTTTCTCAGCTATTCTGTAGTTTGGGACGGGATTTGTTTTTACTCTGTATGCAGGTTTATATCCTGCATTGTTGAAGACTTTTCCAATTTTCTCTGTTATCCGGTCGGTATAGTTGATTGGTATATATTTAGCTCGTTCTATTGTCTTTTCGTCATCTATGATGTCTGTTGGAGGGTTAGGTTTTAGTTTCTTTAGTATTTTATTAATCATTTTATCGATAATGTGAGGGTCGTACCCATTGTTAATTGCTATATTTTCTATGGTTTGTTTTTCTTTGGTGTACTCGGCTTGGTTGAGGTTGTAGTTCAGTAACCTATATACTAGAGATCTGAAGGCTGCCATTTTGTAGTTGTAAGGGTGGTTTGAGTTGGCAGGGATTACAAGATCGGTTTGGGTTGGTTTCCTGTATATTGCTATTTCTACTGTTTTATTATTGTTTTTTATTACTGTTACGTCGAGGAAATTTATAGATTTGTTGTTTTCGTGGTCCATTTTGAATTTAATATTGTTGTGTGTCTTGTTGATGTGATTAAGGAATATTTGAGCTTGTCTGCTATTGCCATTTAGGACGAGGAAAGCATCGTCAACATATCTGGTGTAGAATATGATTTTGTTATGGTATGGATTGTTTTCTGATAGGATATGTTTTTCTTCGAAGTGTTGCATATATAGTTCTGCGAGAGTGGCTGATAGAGGGCCGCCCATTGGTAGGCCTTGGGGGTCATAGTAAATTTTGTTGTTGTATGTGAAGTAGCTCTGTTCTGTAATTATTTTTACTATTTTGATTATATCTTCGATCTCGTCTGGTAGAAAATTGTCGGACTTTGTGAGTCTGTCTTCTAGTACTTTTAAAGCTTCTGTCCGAGGTATGTTGCCATACATGTTATCGACATCTATTGTTGTTAAGAGGTGTCTGTCGAGAATTGTTTCTTTTTGTATTCTTTGTATGAAATCTTTTGTATTTTTACATGATACGGTCGAAGTATTGGGAATGTTATTCTTTATGAGGTTGTTGATGTATTTTGCTAGTTTGTATGATGGTGAAGGTATGGCGTTTATTACTGGTCTGATTGGGTTACCTTCTTTGTGTGTTTTTATTAGGGGCTTAAAGATTGGTGGCGATGCGTTGTTGTTGTATAAAAATCTGTTCTGTTCTGGATTGATAATACAGTTTTTGTTTAGGAAATCTTTTATTTCCTTGTTGTATACTTTTGTTGTGTCATTTATTTCTTCGATTTTGTTTTTCTGGAAGTATTGATTTATTTTGACGTTTAGTTCATCTTCATTAATAATGACTGTGGAATTGGATTTGTCTGCTGGTAGGATTTGTGCGTTGTTTGCGATAAGTTTTTGTTTTATTGTTTGGATGGTTTTATTTTCGGTAGAAGGTTTATTGATTGGGTGGTTGTGTTTAATTTCTTTACAAATTATATCAGCTACACCATATCTTATTTGATCTCTGTCTTCAAGTTTTACCATTTGTAGTCCTACCTCTGTTTATAAGTTTGAAAATTATTGAACAGATTACAACAATTCAATAATTTTCAAACTTATAAACCATCTAGAAGATCAACGTGGCAACAGCGCAGAGACTTGGCAACGTCGCAGTCCAAGAAGAGAAAGCTCTAACATCGTAAACTCACCCCCATCCCCTGACCGAACCTCCCCAAACATACCTCCTCAAGCCAGTTGTCAGTCAAATAGTGACACATGTAGTGGCTCCGGTCCGCATTACACATGTAGCGAAATGTACATCGAGCAAGATATCTACACATTTCAAGAATCTGGCAACCACAAGGTAAACTAGTTTATTCAAAACATCGTTGCAAATTACATAAAAAATGACTGTCAATTAAAAAAAAAAAACATTATTGTAATGGTAAAATATAAGATATGAAGCGATACACAACTACTCAGCCAAATGTCTCAATTCACACCGAAATTAAGACATGAGGGGTAGCAGAGAGATAAACAAGTATAAGGGGAGAAGTTGATACACTTTGTGGTATGTAGCTCACTAAAACATCAAAAGAACTAAGTCAAGTATCAAGTGCAGACGCCTAAAGCCTGGTACGTATTTTCCAATACAGACAGAGGCAGCGAATAGGGATTGTCTTGACATACCCACTATAGTATCATGATGCAATCATACCACACAATTTCTCGGTACTAGATTGTATAACACAAAAGGTCGATAAGTGAAAATCGGATATTAAAAACTCTACTGCACTGATAAAAAAATATGGTGACTTATTCTCCACCAGCTACTTCTTGATGATTCGTTGTGTCCAGGAGCAAAATGGTTTTCAAAAGTACAACTCTGTTGAATATAACAATGTGTTTTATTTGATTTTTTTTTATGTGTGTAAGGATAATTTGTTCCATAAAGGGCAATTGATTTTTAAATTATAGATAATATTTTAAAATCTGGTAATATTTATAATAGCCTATAAGAACTAACCAACCTACATATAAGATACATTCTTACTGACTCACAATTAATTTGTTATATCACAATAATATTCAAATAGCAAACGGTGTACGGTTTTCATAAATTGCATTATTTTTTTATTTTTATTTATTACTTAGCTAGCACATTAATTCATAACATTTATTTTTTACTACTATCTCAGCAGGTTTTGTGTAAAACTGTGTTTTTAATGAAAATCTATTACTTTTGATGCAGTTCAGAGACATTGCTCGCAATTGTTAAATTTGTTATTACAAATATTTTCTTCTACTTTCCACCAAACAAAGTTTTATGAAAAACAGGTTTATTACAACGGAAGAAAATTATTTAACAAACTACCAACTAATATTCAAAACTTAAAATTATAAGAATACAAAATAAAATTAAAACAAATCCTTACTGAAAATCCAATCTATTGAAGACTTCAATGACAAATTCATCAAAATTTAAAGAGTTTGATTTAAACCTAAAATGGAGATCTCCGTTGGAAATAAATAAAACCTAATTGTACTGTCGATACGATTTATATTGTCAAGTACATAAAGTGTAATTTACAATCTGAAATTAAAAAAATAGAGCCAATGCCAATAGCTAATATTTAACATTATTGGTTTTTAAATAATATTGTCATTGCGGTTTAAATCTGATCTAATCTACAGACAGACATAGTAATTACATAATTTTTAATCTCAAATTGATGTTTGATAATGTTAGTGAACGCTAGATATTGTTCTGGAAAAGTTTGCTTCTGTGGATTGAAAGTGTTTATTTAGTTGTGCTGTGCTGTATCAAAGTAAAAGTTTTTTGATAAGAATACTACTTTAAATATTCATGAATTTTCTAGTCCATCATGGAAAACCCTTTAGTTGCTCTTTGGTTTCTGTACCGTGTAGCATTCGTGGGTGCTTCAAGTGTTGCTGATAGATCGAGTGGAAAACCGCAAGATTCACATCTCTCTCCCTTGCCAAATTACGTTGTGGCAAATGTATCTAATCTCCAAGCCGTTCAAGATTCTTCCATCCGGAAAAAAGCGGCTGCACTCTCATTTCCTCTGAGCGAACAAGACAAACGGGACCTAGAAACTTTGGAAATGAAATTCGACAATGAAAAAGACTGTGCTGGGCTTGCAGCTCCTCAGATCGGTATTTCAAAAAGAGCGATAGTTTTCAAAGTTGACGAAGAAGAAGGAGTCAAAGGTTTTCCTAGATCCGTCTGGATCAACCCTACTTACGAGAAGGCGAGTGATGAAACAGAAGTCGCTTATGAACAATGTTTCTCGGTGCAAGGAGTCACGGCGCCTGTGAGACGATACAAGTGTATAAACTACGAAGCGAGAGATGTGAGTGGGAATATCGTTCGAGGTCGTGCAGAAGGATTTTCGGCAAGAGTCATTCAACACGAAACAGATCACTTGAATGGTATACTTTTTATCGATCTGGTCCCAAAGGAAAAGATCATTACTATACAGGAATTCAAGAAGCTTTTGAAAAAGTACGAAGAAGAAGAATCAAGGAGAAATAAAACTAAACGATAGTTAAAGATTATTCTTTGTTCTTCAGTTTTCATCTTGTAAATACATTTTTGTAATTTTATCTTTGACTTTTTTAAACGTTCCTAAATCAGTGTTTGATAAGTGTGAATTTCGAAGTGGATAGAATGACCGGTTTATTGTAAGCCGTTGTGACATCAATAATATTTTTCTCATGAAGAAATAACAAAGCTACTCTCACCACTACTCTTTAGAGTACCGTTAGAAGTATGGGAAGTTAATAAACAGTTTGAGTTTAACGCAAATAAGTGAATTAAAAATTCCAAAATCTTATCCACAAAGCACACAATAAAAAATACAAGATTGGATTTTATGTCAAATTTGGAACCTTTTCACTTTATTTTCAACCAACAATTAGTTTGAAAATAATGTTGAATGGGTCAGCTGATTCTATTATAAACTCCCCTTGGTTGTAACGACTGTATCTATTATGCATTATGCCACCCTAACTACTGTTTCCACACTTTTCATAATGACATTTCCTATTCGAGTGACACACCTATCCACCAGTCAAGCTGTATTTCCTTGTGTTTTATCTACGAATTGAATTCTTATCGTTTGGTAAGCTTTATTTATAGTTTTAATTAAGTTGTATATTTTAAATTATATATGGTAAACTTGAAAATATATTATACTTCAGTTAGGGTAAACTATTTAAACAATAACTGTAAGTGAATAAACCTAAATTTAAAATAAATATTATTTGATAGTAAAGTGCCTGGCAGCTGAGCCATGCTAGGTTGTGTTTAATTTGTTTCCTTGGTTAAAAATGGAAACATGTAAAATTTACAAGAAATTTAGGTTTTTATCAGAAATAAAAATATTGTATGAAATTAAACTAAATGTAAAGAATGGAGGAGAAACAGTTCCTTAACAAGAATCTTTTCATAGATATTTGTCACCGAAAGTCATTTAAAACCATCGTAAATTAAATTATCACACTCGCGCTATTGACACAGTCAATGATAAATACAAAATCACATTTGTATTTTAAACAGTAATACTGTGTGTTGCAAACCAATAGAAATTGTGTTTTTACCAATTTTTGTCTTCTTCACTAAATTTGCTGAGTTATTGGTGAAATTCACAAACCAAACTTTGCCCCTAAAAGTTTGCAATTCTAAACTTTCAGCATTTTGCTGCTATATTTCAAGATAAACTTTTGCAAACACAAAAAACAAACACACAATAATTCTATTAGAGTATAGGATAAGAAATTGTGTTTATACTTAGCTGATTAGTAAACAGATAATACAAGAACTGGTAAATATCAGATTTTGGAGGTTTCCACTACTATCAGTCTAGATACATTTATGAATCATAGTGCATATTGTGAGCTGTAAGTGGAGTTTCATTAAATTATTATTATAAACTATATTTTTGTCTCTCTGAAATTCACATTAGTTCTTAGTTTCTCTTGAATACATGTTTAAAGTTGTTTTTTTTTATCTAGGCCATAGTGGCACTTTAAATGAAGTCAATTTAAACACTTTTTAGGAAAAGCGGTCTAACCCCTTTAACGTTTTGTAGATGTGCTTGCGAATCAAAGTTGGATGCCGAGGTGCTAACCACCACGCCCCCCCCCCAACACACCCTTATTCTTAAATAGTTTAACCAACAAAATTTACATTCATTTTTTTAATTTTTTATCCAAATTATTTGTTCATGAGCCATTGGTTTGGAGTTCGTTGTAAGCTGTATAGGCAAATAAAAACCGCCCCTAATTCAGTTTTCCCTCCACAAAAACCATATGATAATTAATTATACTAAATCTGACAATATCATGTGCCTTCATGTTTTTAATCAAAACAAATTTCCAACACAGGTACGAGTTGAAGCTCAAGCAATAAGTTTAATGATATTTTATGTTTCTAGATCTATCGACATGACCGACTTCAGTGGTTATCGTTCTCTGCTCACCAGACCAGCTCTGGGACCTAATCCAAGACTCGTTCGCGGACCTGATCAATCATTGTTGCTGTAAGTATAGGTGTGAAAAGTGAAAAGCTTCTCTTTAGGAACTGACCAAAACATATACTTGATTCACACAAAAAAAACATCATTTATGTTTCTACTTAAAGGATTTGCCTTTTAAACGAGTTGTCTTTAATATTATCATAGCTTGTTAACACTCACTAACCTAATTTAGTACCTGTAATGTTTAAAAACTTAAAAGTAATGTAAAAAAGAACTTTGTTTCAGCTAAAAAATATTCAAAATCTAAAAACATGAGAGATTGTTTGAAACTATTCTTGATAAAGGTTCGCAAACAAGTATTTTATTAGATGGTTTGATCTAGTACAAAATTATATGAATATGCTTCATCTAACCCTTGCCACTTGATTTACTCAATAACACATCTTTCTCTTAAATTCACATGTTAATGTTTGAAATAAACAACATATTTGACAAAGCAACAACCAACTCAAGGACGACAGAAGACAGATATCAGCTGAGGTAACACCTGACACAACACTCTTCACTTATCACTAGTATTACACATCAAAATCAATCAGCTGCTTATTTACGTTTCTTTCATCGTCTTTGTTTTCATCAAATGGATTCCCTCGAATAATGCATGCTGCAGATTAAGTTATAATATTTCAAAAGGAAAGCCTTTCAACCTTTCAAAAGGTTTTTGAAAGGATATAGCAAAATAAATAGCAAAATTATATATTTAAGTTTATTGTTGCTGGTGGTGAGTTTATCTTTAACATGTTTATTGCGGCATGTCTACAATCGGAGACATCAGCTACCCCGCCCGGGTGCGCATGCCTCCTATCAGAGACATTATTTGTCATGGACATTGTAATGCGATTATATTTCGTCTAGCGATTGAGAAGGAAACGCATATTGTGCATTAGCGTGCACGTTAGGGTAGTAGGTTTTTTAATTTCATGTTTGTCGAGGTTAATGCCAATATTCATATTTTCCAAAGGGCTTTATTTTTGTGTTTGTTGACGTGGTTTATCGTTTAGATAAACAACGTCGTTGTAGCATGTTATGAGAAATGTTATGACATGAAGTAGAATAACGATACTGAATTGCATTGTGGAAGGAACATAACCTCAAAACTTTGCTTGATCACTTTTTGCGGTATGTTTTGATTGAGTATCCGGGTACTTTGCCTCTGCCTTTTCCATCCATTTGGCAATACTGAGGGCCGGCTAGCAGTTTTGTTTAGTTCTGTTATCTATTGTTTTTTTTGTTTTTTTTTTTAACTGTGCACAACGACTGGGACACAGTACATGCTATAATATGCCTCTACTATTTGATGAAACTGAATTCAAACATTTTCGCGAACTCATCCACACAGTGCATTAGCTGCTGGCGCTCCCGGCAGCGGACGACCATCACGCAGCCACAGCAAAGGTGTTAAAGAATGATTTTGCAAACATTTTCGAACGATAATGGTGTTGCAGTGCTATTGATTTCCCTTATTTCATTTCATAAGCAAAAATTCGTTAAGCGAATTTAGTTTTTTTTGACGAATAATCTACCAAACACTAAACACTTGTTTACCAACAGGCCCTTGATTTTATAAACCTTTTTTTTTTAGTGACCTTCTATGGGAATTTTTTGCCTTTCATATAAATCTTTGTAACTTTATTTTGAATGGTTATTTCTTTTTATTTGCAAACTCATCATTAGAACTCATTTTTAGTACTCATCTTAAGTAAAAACAATAAAATTACCGATCTCATCATAAATATAGAATGTGCATGTATTTATTATACTGAATAGAATTTGTTTCCTAAAACAATTTCATCATTATATCAGTACAGTAGATGTATGTATGCAACATTTTATAAAATCAAAATCTGTTTCATCCCCAAACATCCCTTCCTGAGCCTTCATTTGCTCAGAGTTACAACAATTTTACTTATTACAGATTACTTAACAAAATTGGTTCAGATATCTAAAGAAACGCAAGTTTGTACAGAGTTGCCTTTAGTTATGCCAGATAACAGCTAGTACCTTGAAAGAAGTATAAGGTAGCAGTGTTAGCCTATAAACAAATCTACATGAGTGAGATTGTACCAAACAAATCACCATTATTACCCTCCGAAATCAGATGTTATTATCCGTTTTTGCCATTAAAATTCAATATTTCTAACAAAATATTTTCTTAATTATCGCCCAATTCTCCAGGAAAAAATAGGCTAACAATTCCAGAAAAAAATAAAAATTCCTATGTCCTTACGTCATATAATTGACTATTGGATACAGAAGTTGGATCAATAGTCAAAGGTCATACATAGGATCACACATATCACTTTTGGTATCTTTTACTTAAGGCTATGTTTCTACTTTTGGGAGCGAGCTGGTATACGTGGTACAGAGCCGAGACTTTGGTCCCCAAATTCCCCGTGCTCAAACCCTGTCTAATGGATATTATCCGAGTGATAATGGTGCAACCTCTAGGCCTAGCCTGAAGTATTGTAAAAAAAACAATCACGAGCTAGAGCTTAGTTAAAATTAAATATAGGTATCTTTAGATTGCTTATTGATGGGATAGCCAGTTAAAGCCCGCTATTGACATGTACATGACAGTGTGTCCCACAGGCCGGACTACGTAGCCTGGTGTGGTAGTGGGGGTTTGGCACGGGGCCCCGACCCTCTACACTGTGAGGGCCCCTCCTCTCCTCGGGGCCCCGACCCCTCTCTACGCAAGGGCCCTCGTGCTGGACTTGCCCGAGGCAGTATCTACTCTCAGCTCGCTGCTCTCTCATTGGCCGAGTCTCGTGGCAAATAGCGGTGGTGCTTCACCTTGTAATGGACGTTAATGAAGAACTACAAGCCTGCGTAACTTTTGAATAACGTAATTATAAAACAATAGTTATAATTGTACAAAACTATTGTTTAGGTTATAATTGATAGGAAAGCTAAGTCGCTAATTAGGAATGTTCTTTAAAAAGGATAGTTCAACTAGCTTTCCTGAGAAAAAGACCAGAAGCTAATTTACACACAATAACAGGTCACAAAACATTCCTTTTGGAAAATTCTCCTTATAGGGAAAATATCACATTAATTGTGATCAAAATTTGGTGGACTGTTGTGTAATATCAACTAGGCCTACTACCTGAACTTTTTTCTTAGGTAAGTTGGTGTATCAATTCCTTGTAAAACTTAACCCTGGTATTTTGGCCTGATAAAAGACTTAGAGTAGAATGAAGAGAAATCTCATTTGAAGCTTTGCAAGTATTGTCAAGTCCTGTGTAAGGACGAAATATCTGTATGTTTTGTGACCTTTAGTTGTATATTGATTAACCCCTGAACTCAAATTTCCTCAGGTAAGCTAAGATTTTCAAAATTGGAGTACACAATAAAAAAATATGTGTTTTACATTCCTATTCAATACATCTGTTTTAGTATTAAGTACGACACGCCTCTTAACCTGTGTTCATTTACGATACATTCCGCTTACTCTTTACACCACTGGATTGTGAAAGGTACATATCACTGAACAGACGTATATTTTGTATTTCTCCTGTACACAAAAAGAGTAAGTGAGTTTATACACAAAGAAAAGAAGTATTGAAAAGTGCTTCCACCGTTTGGAAAAAAGACAAAATGAATGTTGAATGTTTTGTTACTTCGACATGTGAAAATTGTTACTTAAAAGACATACCATTCCAGTTTTTTACTACCTTTTTCCAAATGACATGGCAGGTAAATTTGCATGCGGTTTTCTTATTTTAAGTTTATATTTTAGTGCCAAATTAAATTATGACCTATCTCGTACTAACGGTGAGATAAGTAGATGTAGTTTTGCTGAAAAAAAAAAATAGTGAGTAGCCTTAGGGCCATACGAACATGAATATAATTCACTTAAATACACCTATATAAAATGCTATGGTTGAAATTAACTAACCCAAAGCTTGATTGTAAGACAAGTTTGTGCTCTTTGTTTGTTGTATAATCTAGTCTTGCCTTATTTTAAGCTTTGAATGTACTTTAATAACCTTGATATTTGGTAGTTGACACTCACACAGGTCTAGGTGAACCACTATAATTATTATACCTGTGGCAGTTCTTAAATTTTCTTTAACTTAATTCTAGATTTTCCTGTCAAAGAGGAAGATTGTTGACCTTTTGAAGTATACAAGATTGTGTATCAGTATTTTTATTTTCTGGTGTCATTGTCTGTTTACCACTAAAAAAACTTATACATGTCTTAACCAGGTGTTTTGTTTCTCTATGGTTAAACAATGTTTTGCATTTCCTTATTTCAGTATTCTTTTTTATTTATATTCTATAAGATGTATTTTGTTACGGAATATCAACATTCTTAAGTTATCATACGCGTAAGTAAAGCGTGAATAAGTAAATTGTGAAGTGTTTTAACAAGCTCTTTGTGAATTGTATTCTAATTTTGTTTGTCCCAAGTTGATGTCTAATGAAATTTTGGCATACAGTAATAGAATTAGTCTCGATTATTCAACTTAATTCGTCTGCAGCAAGGTTAAATAAGCAGAGGTGTCAATAATTTGAATAATAAAATATAATTTTCCTGCCCACTAATACTCTCAAAACTACTGATATCGGAAATCTGCACAATGTAATGATCATCACACTGTAGTTTTCGTGTTAGCGATAATTTCCCTGGAATTTGTTTCCAAAAGACAATATTCTTTATTTACATATTCGTAGAGAGAATAGTACATGCGTGAAGCAGCAAGACCATGAGTTTCCAGAGCTTTGTCTTGAAGAGCTTGCGAGTAAGATTTACTTATCATAATTGTTAGTTTATCTACTTTTCTGCCAAACACTAACATTCAACATTCACTTTTAAAACCACATGAGCTAGATAAAAAAATTAATAATGTTCATGGCAAAAAATTTAATGGCTCTTCAGAGTTCTTTCAGCCTAGAAGTTTATAATCTCAGTGCACTAGATAAACTACAATCACTTTAGAATTTGGAAAAAAAAATTGAGATGGTAAATAACTCTTCAGCGGCTGTTTGAAATTAACAAAAATAGCTCTCATGGCGGGTAAATCCGAGATGGTCGTCACCTTAGTTGGATAATTGAGACTTACCATGTTACCTTTACATGCATTGAAGAGATGTTTAAATAAGGGTATAAGTGCAATAATTAATAACAGTTACCCTACAAGCCAAAACAGAATGCTGATGTTATTGATGTATGATTGTTAAACCTTCCATTACTTCACCATTAGTGTTGTGTAACTCTTTGTTGAATGTATTATGTTGTGTTTGTGTGTTAGTTTGCGTTACTTGACTCTTGTATTGTTATGAACTTATTGATTAAGGTGGGGTTAAATTCTTTCTTGGCTGATAGATCAGCATTAGTTGGTGTGTATATTAAAAAGTTTTGTCAATTAGTTCACTTGGGTCACTACTACTGGTTCTCTAAACAAAAACTAAGCAATAACATTAAAAAAAACTGACAACTACAATTATTTGAGTCATAGAGAAAAGTTGCATCCTCAACATGTTGTGGCTGTAAAGTTTATAACATTTACCTATTAAAAATGTCGGTTTGAATCTCTCAAAAACATTTTTATGGTCAAAATATCTTTTGGTCATTAGTAGAAAGTTTCACAGTTGGGAGTTGACTTTTTGATTGCTAACACCAACCTAATTATTTGCTCAATGTACACTTTCCCCCTTAAATGATATCATGCTGTATCTGTATTTTTCTATGTAGTCTCGATAGTTTTAAAGTTGTACTTACAAATTATTTTTTCTAAATTCACTCAGCACTAGTTTAATTATCACTTTGCAGTAGTTTTAGAAATAGGTCAATTCTTTTGGTGCAAATTTTATGTTTTAGCATAGATGATCCAGTTTACTTAAAGTTGATTATTTTTTAGTTGTTAAATTTTTTTATTTTTTTAAATTTAACCTAGAAAATTGTATTTAGCCAAGTCATATAACAAAAGTGTTTTTTCTGCTTCTAATTCAATTTTAGATCTCTATCTTTGAAGTAGTCATAGATTAGATAGGTTTCAGTACTTTCGAGCAGTTTAGAAAACTTAGAACTATTAAGTAATGTCCTCTTTAGTTACCATCATGTGTGCTAAATGTGGGTTTGACGTTTTAGTAGGAAATGTTTGTAGGAAAGGTCTAAAATGTGTTTGACCAATTTGTGATATCAATAAGTCATAAGAATTTGTCAAACTGAGTGTCAGAGAGCTATTTTCATGTACCCTGAACGTATTGTTAAATAAATATTTACTTATGAATAAGTCCTTTATTTTACCAGTTGTTTTACCTCAACGATAAATACGACTGTAGACTAAAGAGTTAAGGTTACTTATCTGTGTTTTTTGGCCAGGATTAAAGTACACAACCAAGACTTTGCCACATTTACAACACACAGCCAGACTACATAAAAAACTTAAGATAGTCCCTTTTAATTTCTAAATAATTTTATTATATTTAAAAAATTACCGATTTAGGCCTAATATAAATTTGCAATATATATAGGTTGTGTAAACTTTAAACATTGCAATACCTAATTAGGCTGCAGCTTATTTGAAGTCTATAAGATCTTTCTTTTATAGAATTGTTCTGTTTACTAACAGACTTAACTGTTTAGAGATTCATCAGTGTAGTAGAAGCTTAACGCTGACGTTCCCAGACCGGGTAGTCTTCTCGAATACCACGAAAACCAGTTTTAAGACATGAAAATGTTACACAGTTAACGAGATCAAGACAAACTACGTACAAATTTTTAGTAAACATAGCTGAGGAGGGGTTTTGAGAAGAATTTGCCAGTTTTGGAACTTTTAAAACTTTTATTGTATAAAACAATTACTTAACGGTTGGACTTGGCAACTCGCTCCAGTTCGTCCTTCTTTTTGATGGCGTAAGAGTTTGAAGAGCCCTGAAACATAAGACGGCATGACATGACTAATGCTATTTTTATTTTTTATGAATAAAAAAGGTAGGCTATTGAGTTATAAATTTAAAAAGAAAAATTATAGGCAGGCCTATAGCCTACTGATTCTCATCTTTCAAAACCAAATTAATTCAACGTCAAATAATAAATTTAGGCCTATTAGTTTTAAAGTACGCCCAGTTGCAATTAATGATGTATTAATAAGTAATGCTGAATTTAGTTTTAGTGAAATCCTATACTCTAATACGAGCAATGTTTGCTTGTATGCTTGCTTGCATGCTTGCTTGCTTGCAGAAAGATCTCGAAAACGGCTCCGACGATTTTCTTAAAATCTGGTAAATAGTTTATTTTTGGCCTAAAAACGAGCTTCATGCAGTTAGAACTCCCAACAAAAATCTAATTACGTAGAAAAACTAAACTGAAAGTCACATTTTTTTTAACATTAGTCTTATGGGTTGCTAAGTAACCATGTTGGTTGAATTAAATTACAAGGAAAAAGTAAACAAAAGACTTGAAGTTGTAGTAAGTGTTCATAATAAGCCAACTACCCACAGTATACTAGCAAATTACAAATACAGTACAAAAGGGAAAGCATCACTTGCTACTATTGAGCAAAGATTATACTGAAGATTGCTCGATACATTGTAGGCCTAGTAAAGGCAAGCAGTACGAAGTGTGGGATCTGTTTATGACAATTAGATTAAGGTATTTGCAATCAAAAAATGCTATGGGAAGGGAGGAAAACAGGTCCGTGACGTAGGAAGTGGTGAAGGAAGTAGTCAAGGCGAGCTGTCTGGAGTGTGGGAACTGTTTAAGACGATTAGATAAGGTTATTGGCAATACTAAAATTGCTATGGGAAGGTAGGAAAACAGGTCCGCGACGTGGGAAGTGGTGAAGGAAGTAGTCAAGGCGAGCTGTCTGGAGTGTGGGAACTGTTTATGACGATTAGATAAGGATATTGGCAATACTAAAATGCTATGGGAAGGGAGGAAAACAGGTCCGCGACGTAGGAAGTGGTGAAGGAAGTAGTCAAGGCGAGTAGTCCGTAGTGTGGGAACTGTTTATGACGATTAGATAAGGATATTGGCAATACTAAAATGCTATGGGAAGGGAGGAAAACAGGTCCGCGACGTGGGAAGTGGTGAAGGAAGTAGTCAAGGCAAGTAGTCCAGAGTGTGGGAACTGTTTTCGACGATTAGATTAAGGTATTTCCAATCCTAAAATGCTATGGGAAGGGAGAAAAACAGGCTCGCGACGTAGGATGTGGTGAAGGAAGTAGTCAAGCCGAGCCGTCTGGAGTGTGGGAACTGTTTATGACGATTAGATTAAGGTATCTGCAATTTTTAAATGCAATGGGAAGGGAGGAAAACAGGTCCGCGACGTAGGAAGTGGTGAAGGAATTAGTAAGGCTAGCAGTGCTGAGCGTGGGAACTGTCTGTGGCAATTACATTAATGTGTCTTCAATCCTAACATGCAATGGGAAGGGAGGGAAACAGGTCCACGACGTAGGGAGTGCTGAAGGAAGTGGTAAAGGCGAGCAGTGTTTGGGAATGGATTCTGTATCTGAAATACTAAGACTGCTTTCAGAGCAAACTAATGATTTTCCCGAGCAAAGCTCGGTCCCCAGGTACTAACCAAATTAAACAACTAAGCTTTCTTAACTTCAAATGATAAATGTAAAAAAAGTGTTTTTTTTATTTTTCTCATTTTTGTGGCTTGAATAAAAATTGTAAAGCCTGTTTACACATGATCATTTTTAAGCATGTGTTTTGAAGTATAATATGTGGGGATAAATCTTACAATAAAAGCCTTTTATCGGGAACAAACTACAAGCCTACTTGTGGCGAATTAAGTATAAAGATTAAAATTATATTATACTTTTCTAAGAAGTGATGACAATAATAATCCTTCGGAACAACCAAGAACTTAAGTTTTTTTTTCTGAAAACAATAAAAATGTTACAATGGTTAGATTTTTTTTTTTTTAGCGAATTTCCCATATAGGGAATAAGCTATTACCGTAGTACTCATGGTAAGACCTGGACGCGGGACCGATTTTTTTTTTTTCGTTTCGAGGTCCCTAGAGGCCAAAAACACCATCCGTTCAAATTCATATATATATATATTTATATATTTATATCTAATATATAAAATTCTCGTGTCACAGTGTTTGTCTGCAAACTCCTCCGGAACGACTTCACCGATCGTTATGAAATTTGGTGTGTAAATTCTGTAGGTATGCGAATCGGACGTAAACTATTTCCCGTTTCGAAATTCTTAAAAGGGCTCCGCCCCAGTGGCTCTGGAGTTTCCCATGTTAACCTTATGAGAAATGGAATTAATGAATCTTAACAGTAATATATAAAATTCTCGTGTCACAGTGTTTGTCTGCAAACTCCTCCGGAACGACTTCACCGATCGTTATGAAATTTGGTGTGTAAATTCTGTAGGTATGCGAATCGGACGTAAACTATTTCCCGTTTCGAAATTCTTAAAAGGGCTCCGCCCCAGTGGCTCTGGAGTTTCCCAATCCCATGTTAACCTTATGAGAAATGGAATTAATGAATCTTAACAGCTGTTTCAATTAAACAAGTTGGTTATGTTCTATGATGTTCAATAGCATTAAAGTTACTAGGATTACCAACAGGGTGCAGCACTATTATTTCTTTTACTTTTATGACAACAGCTAATTTGCAACCAAAAGGTGAGTGAGCGTAGCGAACGAACTTCAACCTGGAGGCGAGTGAGCGTAGCGAACGAGCTAACCTGAAGGCAAGTGAGCGCAGCGAACGAGCTCCAACCTAAAGGTGAGTGAGCGTAGCGAACGAGCTCCAACCCAAAGGTGAGTGAGCGTAGCGAACGAACTTCAACCAGGACGTGATTGAGCGATGCGAACGAGATCATCTTGAAAATTAAACGTAATGGTACTTTCTTTCCATCGGTAGGCGATACGAAGTTCGCCGGGTCAGCTAGTATTTATATATTTATATATTTTGTTATTGTATACATCAATGAGGGCTACTTTAAATGTTACTAAGCAAATCAAAATACCACAGTACCCTAAAAACATTTTATTTTATATTACTTACATGTTTCGGACATTAATGCCATGATCACAGTATAGTATATAACCTAATAGGTTATATACTATACTGTGATCATGGCATTAATGTCCGAAACATGTAAGTAATATAAAATAAAATGTTTTTAGGGTACTGTGGTATTTTGATTTGCTTAGTAATATTTATATATATATATATATGTGTCTGTTAGCACGATAACTCGAGCAAAAATGATCCGATTTTGATGAAATTCGGTACAAACGTGTAAACCTACGTTTATTCGAACGAGTTCGCGATCCAGCATGATCGGACCATGGGAACGGGGGTTTACGGGGGGTTTTATGGGGTAAAAATAGGTTTTTCGCATTTTTGACCCAAAAAACATAAAATGTAGCAATTTCTTTCCAAACCATTTTGTAGCGCTTAAAAAAATAATAATTTAGTATATTGAAGCGTTATTATGCGCCTAATGGTTACAGAGAAAATTCCAAAAAATTGTAAATTTAAAATTCCCATGTTATTCTTATGGAGAATAAGTAAACTGTTGTAGTTTGCTTGTTTATGAACATATTTTGATCAAATTTGGAAAATGTTTTTATTTCTTACTAACTATTAACATAAAAAAAAAAACAGTTTTACCTCCCTGATGCAGCAAACCTAAGTACTTGTTAAACTAATTCTATTTAAATCGGGAATAAATGTTATATTTTTAAGTAGACATTTCAGTGTAAATCAAATCAGTCAAATGGAAATTCGCTTAGTCTGCAGGTTTGCTGCGGCGGGGGTATTTTTTTGCCACGATAGTAGGCCTATACAAACTCAGAGAGTGTTACCTTGGCAGCATTGATGAGTTCATCAGCCACACACTCAGCGATGGTCTTGATGTTTCTGAAGGCAGCTTCACGAGCGCCTGTGCACAACAGCCAGATAGCCTGGTTGACCCTACGGAGGGGGGAGACATCAACAGCCTGTCGTCTCACAGTACCAGCTCTTCCGATACGTGTTGAGTCTTCCCTCGGCCCTGAGTTGATGATGGCGGTCACCAAAACTTGCAGTGGGTTCTGTCAAACAGATAACATAGATGCTTAAGAACTACACTTTGGCATTTAACACTTAAAAGCAACCAAATGAAAATTTTATTTACGATTAAATACTGGTAGTTCTAGATTTACCCAATCCTAGTTCGTACAATTTAGCACGTAGGCCTTCATGAATCCCCCCAAAAAATGCAATGCATGTAAGAAACTAAGGATGAATCAATTAAAGCAGCTACGGTACAATCCAACTAGTCTATAAATAATCATGAATAAACTCTTTGGACAATTCAAAATTAAAATTTAATATTTTTTTCCCAAACACAGTTGTAAGTGATGTAAGGCCTATCCCACAGCTGAACAGGCAAAGTACAAGTTGACAAAACAACTTTGTATTGTTTTCTACAGTTTTAATTGTAATATACCATGGTTTGAATTTGTTCCTAACTACCTTCTGATCCCAAAACCAAATTTTGGGTCTTATCAGAAATGCATTGATGATTGGTGGAAACTTATCAAGGTCAATATCTTATCTCTAAAAATCTAGGTATAACAGCTACAACCAGTGCTCGATTTGTGGGGGGAATGCGGCGGAACGTAGTTTCGGTACCTCCCTTTCAGAAAGATAAATATATTGGCATAAATTGGTACATACATAGGTACAAAAACTCATTAAATATAGGTTACAGTTCCGGCATTTATTTTTTTTTACAAATCGGACACTGGCTATCACCACTCTTCATTACAGGCTACAGTACAACTTACCCCAATACTATACGGGTGGTTTGGATTTCAACTCAGCGCATGCAGTTTCACTATTGGACAGTGTATTGTAAAAATAAAATCAGAAAAGGTAACCCTAAGCAAGAAATAGATGTAGAACAATGTTTTTTGACATGTCGTGTCTAGGTGTGTGGTCAGTCTTAGTAAAAACACTTTGTAACAACATATTATTAAAATTGTTTTGCTATCAAATGAAATTAACATTTTGCTTAGCACTAAAAACTTGTGTGTGTACCAAATGAAAATGGCTAAATGAATGACAATAAACCTTAGAAAATTGTACAGTAGGCCTACCTACTACTGTATAGCCTAAGCCTACCTCTCCAGTGAGCAAGTGGATGATCTCAAAGGCGTGTTTGACTATCCTCACAGCCATCAGTTTCTTGGCGTTGTTGCGACCATGCATCATAAGAGAGTTGGTGAGACGCTCTACGATGGGACACTGTGCCTTGCGAAACCTCTTGGCTGCATACCGGCCGGCCGAGTGGGGAAGATATTTGGCATTCTTCTCCTTCACGGCTATGTAGTCCTGTAAATATTATTCAAAAGTATTACTCAATTTGCAAATCAACAAATTAATTACTCGTTTACGAAAACTAAACACAACCAAGGATACAGTTATCAAAACTCTGTAGCCTAAACTATTGCTTACGAGGTCTTGACGAATTTGTAACTGATCTTGGTGAAATAACTCTGAACTAGAGCAACAATTAACAAACCCCGCAATCACTGACACATATAGGTTTTACCGGAGATAGTTGCTATCAACATTATGCCTACCGGTACTGGAAATATAACTTTTATTTTAAACAAAATGCATCAACTGTCCTTGTAACCCTACTGAATGCGCCAAAGGACATTTTACAGTACTTATTTTCGTAACTTGCTAAAAGGTTGGTATTTTTCTGCCATCTGAAATACTAGGAAGGCTTATAGAAACACAGCACTTAAAGGTGAAGGAGGAATGGAGTATAAATGCTGCATTTCTTACAGGTACAACACATAAATATTATACATCTGCCTGCCTGATATACGCCTAGCTTTATTGCAAAATTATTTTAATACAGTTAACAATTATGGTTACATGTTAAGTGGTTAGGTGGACAGTAAATTTCTGCCAGATCACGAGTTTATTCAGTTAAGAGATAAACAAACCTGCAGAGACATGTCGGACACTTGGACATCATCACAGCTCCAGCGACCGAACAGCTTGATCTCCGGCAGCTCGGGGGCCGCAGCTACAGGAATAGTGTCAACCCCAGCTGCGGGCTCGTCCATTCCCCAGTCTTCGTCCGCCATCTTGTAACAACAACAAGAATCATCACCAAATCTACAATTTCAAAACCAGTCGTACACAACATTTAAGTTATGTAAATTGATTAAATATAAGTTCACCTTCAGTTAAGAGAAGGGGCCAGTGAGAGACTAGTCTGAATTGAGTTGTGGGTTGTCCCATCCCGCACATTACACTCAAACTGCTGGTGACAGGAGCTTTCCACCGGGCAGGGCTCGGAGCTCAGCTTTTCAGCTTCCCAGCGACCGACCCTCCCGCTATTTCTGGTCCCCTGCAGCCCTCCATGGGCCCCCCCTGCTAGAGGGTTAGCCACCCTATCTCAGACCTTCCCGGGGCCGAGTAGCAACAAGTGCTCTGTATGTAGGCCCCTGGTGCAGGCTTCCCACTGGCCCCAGGTTGTATCATCACTAGGTGAATTTAAATTAAACCACTTCATATTAGTAGGCTTAATTTAGCCTTAGATCGACTAGAACTACCTAGTAAGCCCTACTTAAATGTCAATGATTGGCCTATTTATTTGGACAAAATGCAAAAAAGTGTATTAAATTCCCCCAAGTAAACAGTGTTGCCAACATGCGTTTGTGAAAATTTCCGTGGGCCTGTCAGACGGGGGTTTTGGTAAAAGTGTTAATTCATTTAGTGTTCGATAGATGTTTTTTTTTACGTTTCAGATATCTTCCAAAATGGCCATCCAGAGACCAGTAAAGTGGCTGAGTAACACTTTAAATTTGGTCAGCTAAACCAATATGACCTAAGTTAGGCCTAAATCATATTAACTTATTTATATTTCTTTAGTTATTTTCAAGACTCACTACACCAGGAGTGCAATAAAATCTGATTCAAACCAAAGGCAATCCACCAAAGCAGAACTACGGGTGACAGTGTGACATTGTCGCAGAAAGCTTAGCCTGCCTGACTGGTTTTTTTTATATTTTTTTATATAAATTATTTACATGGTCCTTTCTTACACTTAACCTGTGTAAGTTTCTATTGAAAGTTGATAAAATTGTTTTTTGCAGAATATATTTCTGTAGAAAGTAGACAACTTAATTTTCTTGAAAAAGATTAAACGTTCTGCAAATTGTAATGCTACAAAACGTCATGCATTACGTAAACGAAAGCTGCAACGTCAATATTCTGTGCTTCGATCGTGAGGAAGAATAACCTAATTACCAAAACGAAAACAATGTAATAACAGAAGGGAACCAATACAAGCGTTTGAAAACTTATTTATATCCAAATATTCATTAAAACTATCACACACGCGGTTCATTTTACACGCAACTTGGACGGCAATGTTTTGCTATGAAATAGCTGATTAAAAGGAGGTAAGTTAACTTAGCTTTTCCGGGACGGTAGACCAGTTTGAAGGTGGCCAATAAAGAGAATAGGTACTGTAGGCTAAAGTAACATGCAACCTCATAGATATGGTAACATATTTGGTGCTTTTAGATACCTTAGGTTATGATACAGTAATCAATTTCAGTGTTAGGTAATAAGTGATCATCGATGTCCTGCCTCGATTTAACGGCAAAAATAAAAAATTATTGTAAAATGTTGATTATCATGATAGGGGAGTTTCTAACCAATAAATTGTGGGTACAGTTCAGCAAGGAACCTGCATCATCGGATTAATAAGATATACAGTAGAACCCCGGTTAACCGAAATAAAGGGGGGAGAGCCGTTTCGGATAATCAATTTTTTTTTTACCCATCAAATGCTTAAATAGCCTATGTATTACCACAGTGTGTAGCAAAAATGTTATAATTGGTTATAGAAAAGCCCCTTTTGAGAGAAGAACAGGCCTATCTATTTACATATTACTTATTGTACTTATATTTTAGCCCTGTATTAATTTATGGAACCGTTTCGGTTAACCCAATTTCGATTAACTAGGGTTCTACTAAGCTTATCGATTATGATTAGGTTCAATAAATAAGTTAACTTATCGCATTGAATTGAATTTTAACATGATACAAATAAAAACATTTCTAAAGTTGTTTCATTAAACATTAGGCCTAGTTTTATTTAAAACTAGCTGAATACCCGTCCTTTGTACGGGGTAGGCGTATGAGTATAAAATGCTTATTGCAGTTATACTCACTCATGTTTTGTGTTTGCAATGGAAGAGGACACGGTTTGAGAAAATTTTGTTCTTTTGATTTACGGAAGCTATAGGCCTAGTATAGCAAATTTACCATAGCCATAATGTTTTACCACTACACCTAAACAATAAAAAATTAAATTATTGAATATTCCCACAATATCAAAACATTGTTTATAAATTAAAAACATAAACTTATCTGCAAACAATCCTACTTTAACAGTTCTCATTGTGCATCACAGCTTTTTGTTGCGGCTTGGTTCAAATTACCTTTGTTGTCATAAATTTAAAAAATTAATAGTGCTGCACCCTGTTGGTGAACCTTATAACTTTGTGTAATTGAAACAGCTGACAAAAATCCCTTTTAAATATAAATACACATAAGGTTAACATGGTAAACTCCAGAGCCACTGGGGAGGAGCCCGAGAGGATTTTTGAGATAAGAATATGTCTAAATGTTAATCGGGAATGTGAGCTATCATCATACCAAATTTCAGCCCAATCCGTCCAGTAGTTAAAGCGTGATTGAACTTCAAACAAACAAACATAAAAACACACAACTTTCACATTTATAATATTAGTAAGATTTGCACGACTAAAATAATAAAAGAATCTAAGTTAGGCCATGGAAAAAACATACTGCCTTGGTAGATTTTTCATCCCAATAGAACAGCTGAAGCCAATTTTATTATTAGTTGGTTCTGTCCAGTACACTGTAAAGGTCATGTTTCGTTCACAATTTGTTTCTTGTTATTACAATCATTTAACTTAAAACCTCTTTTGACTTTTTACCAAATAAAACGATTTAATCATGAACAATAACTCGTCCCCTGGTTCTATAACCAAGCAGTAAGTTGTTAACTTAAAGCACAAATCATGAAATTAACTCTAAAATAATAGCAACAAGCACAAATCATGGATTACCGGTAACTCTAAAATAATAGAAACAAAATTTGGTCAAAACTAGCGATCAGTGTCACCGAACATGAACTAGAAACGAAAAACAAGTTTCAAAATTTGCAATGGGATGAGAAGTATACTTGTGTTGGTTAGTCTATGGTAAGGCCTATATCTACTTAAGTATATTTTCCGAATAGGCCTAATCTTAGGTGGTAATTACAGTAGACTCCCTCTTAAATCCGGTCACCTTTGAACCAGACATCGGTTTAACCGGACTACACTCGGCGGAAATGACATCTCTTTAACCGGTTAATTTTTTTTCAGCATGTCGGTTTAACTGGAGTAGATCGACAGGAAGTGGGCAGTACTGAAACAACTGTTCTTGGGGGAAAGATTTGAGATCAGTGATCACGTGTCTAAATACAATGCTCTCCTAAATTTAAGTCAAATACTGTATACATTGTGCATTTACACAGTCCGTTTTAACAAATTTTAGCGGCCGTCAGTTAAACTGCAAAAACCGTTATCTGGACTGGTCTCGATCCCGAGGAGTCCGGATTTTAAGAGGGAGTCTACTGTAGCCTAGGATCAAAAAAGGTTTTTAAAAGATTAACTTAGGCTAACTTAAGTTTTTGTTAGTTTTGTTACCTTTCACTTTCATAAAAATATATTTTGTATGATAGAATAATAATGATAGGCTCTACTTTCACTTAAAACAACAATATAAACATTTAAACACATCGTGCATAACTTAAGTTAACTAGGTAAATTTTAAGTTTAGGTTAAGTTAGGCTTCCTAAAAAAAGACATTGTAGAAACTAGAAACGATATCCACCGAATCAATATTGATACTTAATTACTTATTTGAACAGTAAGGCCTATTGATTTCTAAACCAATAGTATAGGCGCAGGTTCTCTTTGGGATTGAGATTACCATAAACAGTGACCTCTCTTATTTTGATGTGTATGTTTTTTTTATCTTAGGGCCTAACTTACTTAAATTACGTTGGTAGAAACAGTTTTACAAAAAAATTCATATAGGCATACAGTAGAACCTCTTTAATCCGAACCCCAGTAATCCGAACATCCACTAATCCGAACCCCTCATTGCTGTCCTCTATAGGGTACACAGTAGGCCTACAGCAGTTCTTAAAAAACTGAAGGAACACGACTAAATTAAAGACAACTGTCTGACAAGTAATAGATTTGCTTATAACATGACTAAAGATGTGTTTACCCAGAGTCTTTGTCCATGTCCAGCAACAAAAAGCCTTTGAGACTTACTTGTCAGCTACTGAAATATTGCGTCCCAGACACGAGTTTAGGTTATCCATCAAGAGTCAGTAAGATCGTAGGACTGTCACCGGCCATATGTATAAAACTCCTGTCACAGTAAATGCAAACACAGTGACTTTATACGCCAAGTACCAGTCGTCAGTCAATAAGTTAAGTAGGCTACAGCTTGTAGGAGCTACCTGAGTTTGAGGTTAGGTTTTAAGTGTTTGGCTTTGTTTTGTGTAAAACTCGCTAGTGTGTATTACTGTGTGTAAGTTTAGTTTACTATAGAGTGAAGTGGGATCAAATTAGGTCTAGGCTGGCGTAGGCCTAACTCAAGTTAACCCTACAAATATTTGGGTTTAAGTAAGCACTTTAAAGTTGCTCATTGGGCTAGGAAACGGAGTTCAATTTTAAGTTGTAACATTAGGGCCCACCGAAAAGTGTGAATTCTTTCCCGCTTCATTTATGGAAGTTCTTGTACTAAAGTAGACTAGCCTAATAACATCTCTAACACGTGCCACGTTCGGTCATAACCTCGACTAATCTAGTGGCAACCCTCGAACAATAGGTGGATTGTTAAAATGTTATAATTCATGTTAGTATTTAAAGCAGTTTTTATACAACACACGAAACAATAATTTTACTTTCTAAAACATTAAGACTTACCTTGATAGCTAGAATTCCCAAACTTTACACCCTTCCCTAGGAAATAATGAAAGATAAAGAAAAGAAATTATGGCAGGCAACTCGGCACCGACGGAAGTAGAGATCCGGAGCATTCAGTGTAGCCAACAATAAAGAGTAATTTTCTACTGTATAAAATGCCATTCAAAACAAATTTTTAAATGAAATTTCTTTGTATTAAGCTGAGAATTTTGTATTCAAATGAGTTAAATTATTTTACTGATTAGAGCTAAGTGCGACCCTTTGGTCAAGGCAGACGTTTTTAAAAAGTTTATATCATTGACTAAAGATACTCCAATTATTATAAAGGCATTGATTGACCGGGGGAATGTTTAATCTATGATATTACTAACGAACAATAACAGTAAAACACAAAGATAAATTGCTATTTTAAAAACAAATCAAATAAAATAATTAATTGATTTGATAACACACTCATTTCTATATTTGGTCAAATTAGTTTTGAAGTTGGTTTATGACGAAAAATAAAAAAATTACAAAACAAACTACCTTTTTTAGCCGTGCAGATTAAACACTTCTACAGTGGCTCGGCAATTCTGTTAGAAAATCGGCATGCTATAAAATTTTGGTCCCAATTACAGGGCCGGCGAGAAGCATGGTGGAAGGGTGAGAACCATCTAGGGCCCCTGATTGGGCTGAGCGATCCCGGGCGGATTTCCCTGATTTAATGTCCAGCCGCCTCCGTGCTGTTTTGTTACACATATAACAATACATAAACAGCCCTTCCCACCGGGCCACCGCCATTGGCTCGGGCCACTTATATGCCCTGTTCCACCGGACCACGACCGGGTCGATTATAAGCAACCGGACCACCTGGGTCATGTCGCCAGCCCACTACCACCGGGCCACTTGTAGGCGCTGTCCCACCAGGCCACAGGTATTGGCCCGGACTACTTTCACAACCCTTACCTGCCGAGCCCCGCCATTGCCTGAGGCCTCTTCGAAGACCCTTCCCCATAAGGCCACCACCATTGGCCCTAGATACACCAACAGCCCTTCCCCACCGGGACTCCGCCATTGCCCCGAGCTACTTCAACGACCCTTGCCCGCCGGGCCACCGTCATTGACCCGAGCCTCATCGTAGGCCCCTCCCCATCGGGTCGGGGTGTTTCACCCGGGCCGCCCGGACTTGGGTACGGTGCCCGGGCCATGTTGACCGCCCGTCACCGACGGGGCACTGGGGACCACTTCCACGCCGGGCCGGCACATTTGGCCCGGGCGATTTGGCACACCCGGGCCGTCTGGTCTTGGGTACAGTTGTACCGGGCCATATCACCAGCCCGTCGGCAACGGGCGACTTGTATAGCCCCGTCCCACCGGGCCTCAAGCATTACCCCGGGCGTCTTGGGGAGCCCTCTTCCACGCAGGGCCGGTGCAATTGGCCCGAGCGATTTGGCACACCCGGGCCGACCACAACGGCCCGGGTCATGTCACTGGCCCGTCACTACCGGTCAACTTCCATAGCCCTGTCCCACTGGTCCACCGTCATTAGCCCGGGCTTCTTTGGGGAGCCCTTCCCCGCCGGACCGGCTGAATTGGCCCGGGCGATTTTGCACACCCGGGCCACCCGGGCTCGGGTACAGTGCCCAGGCCATGTGACCGGCCCGTCGCCGCCGGGCAACTTGTATAGCCCTGTCCAACCGGGCCAAAAACATTAACCCGTCTTGGCGGGCCCTTCCTAGCCGGGCCGGCCGATTGGCCCGGGAGATTTCGCACACCCGGGCAGCCCGGGGGGTCGTTGGGACGGAGTCATACCTAGGTCCACCGCGGTCAATCTCCCCCGCGCTAGTTTCCGCAACGTCTGCGGCCGGCGGAGCATGAGACCAACAATCCCTCCCACTTGCCTCTGAGTCGCACAGTTTGGTTTGGCCGACCTAACCAAACGGTGCGGCGGACAACTGGAGACTACTTCACTCGTAACTACGCCTGCAAAATGTAGGATACTTTACCAAAGCACTGCTGTATTGCGGGCTGACTAATGAGACCGTTTTCTGTAAAGTAGTAATTGTACAAATTACCGTACACTTGCTTGACTACGAGAAAATAATTATTCAATTGTCATATCTATTCCACGATTATTAATGGTTTTGAAATCCATACACCACTTTACTCACTAATATTAATGGTACAGATTAAGCACATAACATTAGAATAATAATTCACTTTAAACACAAATGCAAATTGTTAACGACAACATTATTACATTTATTAATTAAAGACAAATCAATCAAATAACAATAAGCCGTTTAATTACTAACACAAAAGGTTTCGTATGATTAGATTATGCATACTGATAAACCACCTATGGTCATCTATAATAATATTTATTTGGGTTTTCTTTTCCGAGTCGGGTTAGCTCTTCTACTCGGCCGATTTTCATAATTTTGGCCTCAAACTAAAGGTATGGACGCACTACAGATTTGCAATCAAGAATCGGCATTCATTTTTATTGACGTATATTTCGAGTTATGCAAAACTCATAAACTAACTCGTTCATAAACTAACCTCATAGTTCTTAGAATATTTGTATATTCAACCAGCTGTTAGTTATAACAATTTAACAAATTATATTGCACTAAAACAAACTAAAGATTTTATAGACTGTTGAAAAAATAAATTAGAACATCTATTATTTTAATTTTACTTTGTACTAGCTGTTCTACGTACGGGAATCTTGTAGTAAGTTGAAACCTTATATTCAGAACAGGAGTTGGTTTGCATATTTAGTGTGCATTTTTCCAGATATGCTAGCAAAACTATTACTGTATAGGAATACATATAATCCTTCGCAAATACAATATCTGACAGTTTCAAAGCCAGAACGAATGCTTCGCAATTAAATGTCACCCGATCGTGTTAGTCCATATTTTATATCTAATGATAAAAGGAATTGCTTTATAGATCTATAGCCCTAAGGTAGACCTGTAATTGAAAGTTACTTTTCACACTGGTTAAAAAAAGTTAAAAAAACTACCTCTACCAAAAACTACTGCACACTTTATTCGGGTTGAAATTTTCAATAACAAAGGTGCTCTTGTCTTTTCCAAGAAACACTGAGAAATAAGGACATTAATGCGCTACCAACAGACATACACACACAATAGCAGTTAGGGGATTTGCTACGCTTTAACCAAAGCAAATTACAAACAAAATAATTATTTGAAAGTTTTGATAGTGTCATCAAATATTATGATAATCGTTTTTAGGCCTAATCAAACTGTAAAATTTGTGTAAATCCGTTGGTAAATATATAAATAAGTAAATAAATACACAGTCCACAAAAAATTTATTCGTTAACAACGCCAAGCTTTAAAAATTCATGATGGTTTGCTAAAAAATCTTTCAATAATGTTTTATCATTTCATAGCATAAACTAACATTTTGGAGTCCAGACAGAAAACGCAAAAATTATACAGTAGGACATCAATTAAATTTAATAAGAAATAAGGTGCAGCACTAACGATAACTATAGTTGTAAATAGTGATGTGTTTCTACATAAAAATGATTCTTACTGCTACCACCGGTTCTAAGGAAAAGTAGCAGTACCATAAACCAACGTTTACATTTAAGAAAAGAACTATAGTACTTGCAACCAATTCAAACTGTCCTTCTAATCAAACTGTTTTATATAGGTTTTAATCCGTTGGCAAATAAATAAATAAATACACAGGCCACAAAACATGTAACATGTAACGTTAACAACGTAAAGCTTTAAAACTCACTATGGTTTGCTAAAAAAAAACTTTCACTTGATGTGGTGCAGTACCGAAGTTATTAATCTCCCTTGGTTTTAAATGTCTTTTAAGTTTTCGAGAATCAAAGTTATTTCCCAATAATAGCATTAATTGTAAGCAACTTTCAATGTTAACATATTAATGACAGTTTGAAGAAACCACCTTTATCCAAACAAAGGTTTCTTATGTAAAATATTACGTAATCTCTCTCTAAACGATAATTGGTACATATATCTAGCAAACATTCGGAGGAAATGTGACAAAAAACGCACAAATCTGGGGTTTTGGACGTTTGTAGTTTTACTTCCTAAGTAGGAAAAGTACCGATATCGTTGTCGAAATGTAAGTAGTAAAAACCAAAAGTGACACATTGGAAAATTGAGTTTAGCTACATCTGTAAGTTAAACCTCTGTTACGATCACAGCAAAATCAGAAAGATCTTCCACGATCGCAGCAACATCCACGATCACCCAGTCACCCACTGCAGTTGTGATTTTTTACTTTGCACTTACCACAACTGTCCTTGAAGCGCCGTCAATGAATGGAAACCTTTTTTGTAAGGCACAACGTTTTTAATCTCACTTGGTTTGGATGTGCTAACAAAACTTGATCGGAAATGGTTGCGGTATTTGTAAACAACTTTTACTGTAAACATATCAGTGACAGCTAGAAGTGAGAACTAATCCAAACAGCTGATCGTTATTTCATCAAATGTAATAGTAAACATTAGGAGAATCACACTATGGTTGCGGTATTTGTAAACAACTTTTACTGTAAACATATCAGTGACAGCTAGAAGTGAGAACTAATCCAAACAGCTGATCGTTATTTCATCAAATGTAATAGTAAACATTAGGAGAAAATTTGACAAAAATCGAACAAAATTGGGTTTTTGATAACACGTTATTTTGTGTTCAAAGAAGCGAGGCCAGGTTTTTATAGCCAAAGACACTCTCACCAATCCAGTAAATACAGACAAATGATTAGAACCTTGATCGGTACTCTAGTTTAGGAGTAGGCCGCGTAAAATGACATTTTGGCGTTACAGACGCAACCACAGAATGGACAGACAAACAGATAAACAGACATACAGACAGAAATTGAGATAAGACTCGTTTCGGCTTTCTTAGCCTATGAAACGTAAAAATAACCAAAAACTGCATGATTCTAAGCAATGTACAGACAAAACTGTAATTTTATTGATATATTTAAATTATCTCTCGTCCTCTATCCGAATAATTAAACGTATCAATTATTAAAGCATTACACATAGTATAGAAAGTCAACCCTACGTATGTCATTTCATTTTCATCCAAATGCTGAATTTGTGTCGA